CCGGGCTGGGGATTCGAACCCGCCACCTTAGGTGTACGTGGCTGGCGCCTTAGCCGGTTGAGCTATAGGCGCCGAGCCCACCCAGTTATTTTTTAGTTGTAGTTGTCATCATTGCTCAACAGAGAAAGATCTCATCTCTCTCTCTCTCTATAGATAGATAGATAGAGAGAGATCTCTTCTCTATCTATCTGTCTGTCTATCTATCTATCTATCTATCTATCTATCTATCTATCAAGGTTGTTGAGACAGTCAGTGAATCACCCAGCTATTTTTTAGTTGTAGTTGTCATCATTGCTTAGCAGGCCCGGGCCGGGTTCTAACCCACCACCCTAGGTGTATGTGACTGGTACCCTGTCGACTGAGCTAAGGGCGCTGCCTCCTCTTCTGTCTCTTATAAGGAAATCTACCCTTGGATTTAGGACCTACACAGATAACTCATCTAGAGATGCTTAATTGTATCTGCATATACTCTTTTTTTTTTTATTGTTGAGGAATCATTGAGGGTACAAAGAACCAGGTTACACTGCTTGCGTTTTTTAGGTAAAGTCCCTCTTATAATTGTGTTACTCCCCCAGGAGGTGTGTCACACACGGTCACACCCTACCTCCCTCCCTCCTTCCTTCTCTCCACTCTCCCATTCCCTCATTCCCCCACCATGTACTAGCATCAATTGTCCTCATATCAGAATTGAGTACATTGGATTCTTTATCTGCAAATACTCTTTTTCCAAGTAAAGTCATGTTTATATATTCCAAGTATTAGGATGTGGACATATCATTTTGGAGGCCACCATTCAACTCTCTATAGGTATATAGTTACTTGAGTTATTATATTCTGTTTATTCTTTCTGTGTATGTTATTTATTTGAAATATAGTGAGGTTCATTTGTTTCTGTTTATATTTAATTTTAGGTTTTCCCCTATTTATAAATATGTAAAACATTAACCTTGTTTCAAAAGACAAATAACAAATGGATAGGTAAAGTATCACAAACTGTGTTGAGCGTTATTAAGGAAAAGGACAGTTCTGTGGTAAATCACAATGCAGAGGGCCATGCATACTTAGAGGGTCAGAGAATGCTTATTTGGGCAAATGGTCTTTAAAAGAATGAGAAAGAGTGAGTTACAAGAAAGCACAGAAGAGCTCTGTGACAGATGAGAAAGCATGTAAGAAGGCCCTGATGTGGGGAAAAGGCTGGGCATATTTGGAAGAACTGAAAGGAAGGCTGATGCTTGTGGGCAGGAAAGAACACAAAGTAAGCAAAGTTAGAAGGAAAGCAGGAGTCTGAAAATGTAATTTGTTGCGGACTTTGTAATATTTAATAATTAGAAAACCAGTAGAGAGTTATATGCAGAGGAGTACATATTTAGAACTTTATTTTGAAAGGGTTGTACTGAATGTCATGTGGAACACACGAAGTAAGAGTAAAAGCAGAGAGATTAATAATAAACCCATTACAGTACATAATAATGGATATAGAAGCATGAAATAATGTTGAGTCATTCAAGGCTGATAGTTGCAAAGGAGAAAAAAGTGGATAGATATATTTTGAATAGAATTGACAGAAGTAGAGGGTGGGTTGAATCTGGCTGGATAGAGAAAAAAGGTTTTGAGGTTATGAGAGTATTTAAGGGTAACTGCCAAGCTACCTGTAGCCTGAGCTACTAAGAAAGAAAGTCGCCCGAAAGAATCACGGTTTCCCTATGGAATTATTAGGTTTGAGATGCTTGGAATTGGAAATGTCAAGTAAACAGTTGGAGTGGAAAATGAAACCCCAAACTTCTTATCTGGTCCCTCTGTGCATTACTTCAGTTAGTGGCTCCTCACTGTAGGCTGAGTTTCTGCCTCTCCTCATTTATATCCTGTAAATGTGAATGCAATGGTAAGACTTGGCCAGATACTATTTGAGACATTGTGGGCAATTTAGACTCAGGATGATCTCCAGGCCCTTGTGTCGATACTCTAGTTTCATTTCATTCTTTCCGGAGAGTAACTGTTATTTTTCTTTTAAGTCATTTACATCTGTACATTTTACTTCCTTTAAAGTACCTTTATTTTGGACCCTTAAAAATAAGGAACATTACCATAATTATACTAAAAAGTATCAGCCTCTTTTCTGCCCCACCTAATCTGACTTAATGTGTAAGGCCGCTCTAGCTGACTTTGGTACCTAGGAAGGAAGAGAGTGTGTGTGCACGTGTGCGTGTATGCTTGTGTGTGTGTATTTATGTTTGATATGCCCTCTATGGTTGATTTGGTGTGTATGTTGGTTTTTATACCAACATCACATTGTTTTAATTATAGTGCTTTTATATTTATGCTTAATAAAGCTAATTTTCCGGAATCATTTAAAATGTTTTTCCTTTTCTTACATATTTATTCTTACAGAGATATTATAGAATCAAGATTGATGATACATTTTGAGGAAATACAGATTTTCCCTCCAGTTTTTTGCCTTTGCCTATTTGTAAATACTTTCTACTCTTATTAATTTCCACTAAAGAAAAGGACCTGTCTTCTTGTCTTGAGGAAGGACCTGTCTTTCTTATTGTGGCATTACCTATTCATTTTTTCTCCTAAACAGACAATGTCATTTTCTCCTCTATTTCCCCTCTTATTAAGTACCTGTTACATGCAAGAGTGTGCTACTTCCTGAGATAAGGGGTAGTATACAAGTGGAATTAAACAAAATGAAATAAGGCATGTAGTGAGGTAAAATTGGGATAAAATAACATCAGTTTGTAATTAAAGTGATATGCTTTTGGGAGGATTAAAAGTTCTATTTTTTAAACATATGTCAAGTTCTAGTTAGTTGATCATTTTCCTTTTTTAAACATCTTTTCCCTCCTTGTCTTTATTTTTCTTAAGGGTCACACAGCAATGCTTCATACTGGCTCATGGCATCCCAAAATAAAGGGAGAATTTATGACTTGCTCAAATGATGCGTGAGTATTTTTGATAATTCATCTAAAACATTCATGTTGTTACGTGTTTTCTTTAACATTAATTGGAAAGTAAGGGTCTCCTTACAGAGTGTTAAGATTTTCCAGTGGTGTAATAACATTGGGATAATAACTAATAATTATTAACATTTATTGAGGATTTACTATGCACCAGTAATGCATAAAACTCTTTACCTTTGCTAATCACTTTCTTATATTTTTTCTCAAAGCAATAGGATATGTAGTTGTTATTACATTCAACAAATGAAGAAACTGATTGCAATTTTCCCAAGGACATGTGATTCTAAGTGGCTGAGCTAGGATGTGAATCCACTGTCAGGCCACTGTATCCCTGTGAGTGGCTGTCACAAAGGTGATGGTACTTGATTTACAGATACAGGCCCAGGATGCAAATCCTTTTTACATAATGAATGAACAACCCTAACCCTAACCTTAACCCTATAAAAAACATACTGCATTATTCTCACCATTGTAAGCACATACCCTTTCATATTGAGGTTCTCCTGTCAGATAACCAGTGATGATCCCATCACATTGTCTGACTGTGATAAGAATCAAGAAAGGCCTGTTACCAATGAGGGCAGGTCTTTATACTTTCCAGGCAACCCTAATTGTTTTTTGAGGCATAGAGATATCCTGGTTATGTTGGAGGAGTGACACAACCAAGAGTAAATATGTATATTCAGGCCTAGTAATGTTTTCTCAGTCTCCCTTACTGATTTGGGAGTTGTGACTCTCCTCTACTCCTAAGCAAAAACTAACTAAGGAAAACTGTACATTGGGTTAAATTTAAAGGTCAGTCTAATTCATATCCAGTTGCTCATCAGCATAAGTAGAACTGGGTTTCATTGCATCCCCATAGTTTCTTAGCAATCTGATATTTTCTTTAGGTGAACTATATGTGTATTCCTTATTAAAGAGAGCAGATAATATTGAAAATAGCTACCTAATAAAAGCAGTTTTGTAACTCCCCTTATTCTTATATATAATTCTTATTTATTTATTTATTTATTGTTTTATTGAGACAGAGTCTCACTCTGTGGCCCTCAGTAGAGTACCATGGCATCATAGCTTATAGCAATCTCCAACTCTTGGACTTAAGTGATTCTCTTGCTTCAGCCTCCCAAGTAGCTGGGGCTATAGGTGCCTGCCACAACGCCTGGCCCTTTTTTTTGGGTAGAGAGTCTCACTCTGGCTCAGGCTGGTCTCAAACCTCTGAGCTCAGAGCAATCCACCTGCCTTGGCCTCCCAGAGTGCTAGGATTACAGGCGTGAGCCACCAGGCCCAGTTTGTAACTCCTATTTAAAAATATTTTTCCAGGGCTGCGCCTGTGGCTCAGCAGGTGGGGCACTGGCCCCATATACCGAGGGTGGTGGGTTCAAACCTGGCCGTGGACAAACTGCAACAAGAAAAAAAATAGCTGGGTGTTGTGGTGGATACCTGTAGTCCCAGCTACTGGGAGACTGAGGCAAGAGAATTGCCTAAGCCCAGGAGTTGGAGGTTGCTGTGAGCTATGTGATGCTGCAGCACTCTACTGAGGGCAATAAAGTGAGACTCTGTCTCTAGAAAAAATATATATATATATTTTTCTGCGTATCCATCATATCCAGGAAATACATCTAACCCATAAAGACTTACATAGACTCAAGGTGAAGGGGTGGAAAAAAATATTCCATGCAAATAGAAACCAAAAAAGAGCATGAGTAGCATTCTCATATCAGATAAAATAGACTTTAAATCAATAGTGGTAAAGAAAGACGAAGATTATTGCTACATAATGGTAAAGGAAGCAGTTTTTAACAAGAAGGCATATAGTCTTAAATATATTCGCACCTAACACAAGAGCTCCTGGATTCATGATGCAAATCCTACTGGATCTATGCAGAGAGATTAAGAATAGCATTACAATTGCCAAGGACTTCAACACTACACTGACATGGCAGGACAGATAATTGAAACACAAAATCCATAAAGAAACATTGGACTTAAACAGAACTCTCAGAAAAATGGACCTACCAGTCACATACAAAACATTCTACCCCCAAATACTGAATATATATTCTTCTCATTAACACATGGGACATTTTTCAAGATCGATCATATTTTAGGCAACAAAACATGTCAGCAAATTCAAAAAAATTGAAACTATGCCATGTATCTTCTCAGGTCACAGTGGAATAATAAAACTAGAAACCCATTCTAAAAACACTCAAATCTATGCAAAGTCATGGAAATTAAACAATTTGCTGCTGGACTATCTTTTGGTTAATAATGAAATGAATATGGAAATCAGAAGGTTCCTCAAACTAAATGACAAAGGGAACACAAGCTATCAGAATCTATGGAGTACTGTTAAATCAGTGTAAGGGAAAAATTAATAGCCTTAAAGGCCTCCATCAAAAAGACAGAATGACCAGAAATTAACAACCTAATGCTACATCTCAAAGAACTAGAAAAGGAAGAACAAACCAAACTCAAAGCCAGCAGAAGAAAAGAAATAAAACAACTCAGAGCAGATCTAAACAAAATGGAAATAAAAAAATAATACAAAGGATTAATGAAATAAAAAATTATTTTTTTAAAAAGATGAAAAATTTTTTTCTTAAAGTATAATGCATTTGTTATATCACATTATTTAAATCAATTTTATTCTGCAAATTGAATAATCATTGTCAGAAATCATTGGGGCCAGAAGTATTTGCATTTCACCTTTTTTTAGATTTTGGAATATTTGCATTACCTGTTACTCTAGTGACCATTTTATCATTTTTGATGCTCAAAACAGTTTCTGATTTTGGAGTGTTTTGGATTTAGGATTTTCAGATTAGGGATTCAACCGGTATTTCTAATTTTAATCATACCTGTTAAACTTTATCAAATGTGTTTTTCCTAATATTTGATCTAATCTTTTTTCCTTTTGGTACATTAATTTGGAGATGTTTAATACATTTTCTGATGTTGAGTCATTCTTGCATTCCTATAGAGCACCTTCAGTTTTTAAAATATAGCTTCTCTATTTATAGAAAACTTGTATTTTATTTAGTATTTGGCAAATGAAAGGGAACTTTTTTTTTCCTTTTTGCTTTGGTGGGGGGTTTTTGTTTTGGGGTGTTTTATCAGGTTTTGGAATGAAGACTTTTCTTGCCTCTTAAAGCAAGCAACCTTTTCTGTCAGTTTAAATTTTAGTAAGAAAAAATAAGGAACTTTCCCCTCATTTTCTATTATTTGGTACCCATGTCCAAGTTCACTATTTCTCTAGAAGATAGATTTTGTAACCATGGCTGTAGACAAAAACTCCATAGCATCTTCAAACCCAGGTATCACAGAAATTATATTCTAAGCTTTTAAAAAACTTTTGAGTACCATTTCTCAAATATTTTTCTGGAAAAGAATATTTAATAAAATTTAGAAGAAATTTTAGAGATGAGCAGAAGCAATTGAGAAGAAAATGTTGTAGCAGTAATTTCAGGATAATATTCATGATAAAAAGTTAAGTAGACAGACACATTGCATCCAGATTGAGTTCTCTCATAAAGGAAATGTTAGTGGACTTGGATGTATAAACATCAATGATTGCCAAATTAATATTTTATCAGATGACATTGTAAAATAATCTAAGTAGGTTTCAGGAAAAAGAACAACCACTATGGTAGATTAGTTATTCCTTCACACTAAAAACTTCATAGATTCTTAGGACCAACTAGCATCAGATCAGGCATCATCAGAATTCTTAGATTTAATACTATAAAGTTCATCCTGATTAAGAATCATTCTTTTAAATATGTATTAGAGAATTATTTATATTTCTTTAAATTATATTTCTTATGTAGCCACCCATCTCTTATAGTGAATAATTAGCTACATTTTATTCTAGTAGTTATTGATAAAATATTCTGTTTATAGAATTTTATTGTGTACTTTTTACCTCTTCTCTTCATTTGGGCCTTAGCTCCCATTAGCAGACACCACCACTGGCACTTGCTAGAATTGTAGGCAACAGGACTTAACAAGAAAAGCCCAACCAATTTACAGAATAATTAGTATAACAATGATCTGGGTCAATCTTTTTTTCATAGAATCTTCTAGCACTTATACTAATAATTATTAATAATGCTTAATTACAAGCATTAAATAAATTGCATCTTTTCCTCACTTCCAACACATAGCATTCTGATAAGATAGAGATAAGAGGTGAAGTTCTTAAATGGTTAGAGACAAATGAATTTCTCAAGGTTATGAAATTATAAATTCATGCTATTTTTTCTAATGTCCTATAAATTTCCTTATAGTTTAAAATTTAAAAAAATTATAAAGTAGTACTAGTATTACTAGTATTACTAGTATTACCACCTTGCAGAAATCTTGGGCAATTCAGTGAGGCAAATCCTCATCTATGATTCTCTTATAGAACTACTAATGTTTTGAGGGGAGGAGATATCGTAGAGTGTTTTACGTGTACTTGAGTGTGTTGTAAGTATAGTTTATAAAGAAATTTTACTTTTCTTTCCCTTAACATTATACTAAAAGCCCCTTTCCCTGCTGTGACACAGTTTTTAGTTATGTCATAATATACAAGTTTTAAGCCATTTTCTCATCTGTTTTTCTCCATTATAAACAATGTTGTGTTAAATATTCTTATATATGCAACTTATTCCATATTTTGGATTTTCTTCCCTTTTTAAAAGTGTATTTACTGTCATTGTCCACATTTAGGTGCAAAAATGTATTTGAGAAAGCAAAAGAGTCTCACTTTCCAAAGAATTTGTTTTTATATAGTAAGTCTTCTTTTGCTATGTTACATGATTTGATAAGTTTTGCCACTACTGTTATGCCCGAAATTCTCCCAAAAGACCCCCACAGACAGTGCGGGACACACTCCGATGTAAAAAGCACGAGATGTGTTTATTTCAGGCCCCAGGAAGCCTGGACTCTCCTGGCATGCAAACCTAGGACGAGCCCCGAACTCGGGGTAGAGCAAGTTT